GAGACTCACAAGAGGCTCGACTCTTGTACCAGCTTTTGCTCTCATTAAAAAATTGGTAACAGTTATTTTTATAACATATCCAGTTTTTAGGACATGGGCCACAGTAACTTTCTAGAAAGGTAGATTATATTATTAATTCTGCTTTTCTGAACATTACAGCAGATTTTGTCTAGACTAGTTAAATGCCTTTCCCATTTCAACTCTAAAATTCCACACAATTAAACTATTATTCTCATACCCAATGATACACCCCTACACATTTATATTGAAAGATATGCCAAAACTAAGTATCCTCTACTTTTTACAAGTACTCCTTTATTGTAATAAAAAAAAAAAAAAAAAGAATAACTTGCATGATAAACTACTGTGAATTATGGATAAGAATAATTATTTCCTTGGATACATGTCTATATCCTAGTTTATATATTAAAAGAAAACCTAAACCCATTGCCATCGAGTCCATTTTGATTCATGGCAACCCCATGTGTTACAGAGTAGAACTACTCCATACGGTTTCCTTGGCTATAATCTTTACACTAGCAGTTCACCAGGCCTTCTTCCTGGGAGCTGCTGGGTGTGTTCAAACTGCCATCCTTTAGGTTAGCAGACAATTGGAGACTGACTACAACACCCAGGCTCTCTAGTATAAATAGATGTACACAATTTATGTTGCAAAATCTTAGAAAATATCCACTTACCATTCAAAGAAATAGGAGCTCCTTGGTTGAATAATGCTATTAAAATAATCACGATAATTAAAAGGTTTTGTGATGTTCAAGCAAAAATAGCTTACAAATTTTAAGACTAATTGCAAAAACATAACACTACTTATTCAAGTTTGCTAGCTTATGTTTCTATGGTTCTGAGTACTAATCCAAGTAATCTGTTACAATTGTTAGATCAACAAAGCTTCAACTTACTTCTCTGTTATCACTTACAATTTATGAATATGAGACTCCATATTGTTACCATAACGATGAAACGAATCCCCATAGCTACAGCAATGAAACGACCAGGAAAAAATGGAGATGCTGTCAGAGAAAAAAAAAAAACAGGGAGAGGTTAGGAAAAGGATTATGGGTTCAGGTATCTTTGTGTTTTTAAGATAAAGATTAGGGTGATTTTTTGGGAGGTAGTCATACAGGTGCTATGAGTCAGAATTGGCTCAGCGGCAATGGATTTGGCTTTTTGGTTTTAGTTAATAGTGCTTTTTTTGCTTTAGTTATTTTTTTCAGAATAAATAAGAGAAATAATTTGTAAATCAGTAAAAACAAGAGTATAAATATATAAATGTAATAATCCCTCTATTTCTTCCCCCCAGGAGCTCTGGTTTCACAGTGGTTAAGCACTGGGCTGCTAAAGGAAAGGTCAGCAGTTTGAACCCACCAACAGGCTCACT